TGTAAACTGACAGGTCATGCAATGTAAAATGACAGGTCACAGGATGTAAACTGACAGGTCATGCAATGTAAAATAACAGGTCACAGGATGTAAACTGACAGGTCATGCAATGTAAAATGACAGGTCACAGGATGTAAACTGACAGGTCATGCAATGTAAAATGACAGGTCACAGGATGTAAACTGACAGGTCATGCAATGTAAAATGACAGGTAACTACTTGTGAACTAACAGGTCACAAGATGAAAACAGAAAAGACACAAGTGGTAAAAAAAAATAAAAATAACCAAATCTCACATAAAACCTAGTATTTTTACTGTTTAAATAGTTTTTATAAAAGATCAAATCATATTCATCAAAATAAAACGTGTTGTGAAGCTTTTATTCTTATAGTTTGATAATCATAAAACTGATGTTTATGGGTTTAGCATTGATAGCTAACATGCTAATCAAAAAACTAATTTAAACGTCCWAATAACTTAAATAGTAACTTTCATCAGCAATATATCACAGAGCAGTGACGTGACCTTTACAACAGGACTACGTTGCAACTTTTTATTAAGTTCAAATATAAGTAAATAAGTCATATTTGTTAGCTAACAGCTAAGCTAACAGTTGTAAGCTTAAAAATGACGTAAACTCTTATTTCGCCACTAAATCTTCATCAAAACTTTTGAATTAAAACCATTACTTTTTTCAAAAAACTGCAAATAAATAGTTTGAGTAAACTCTTACCACCTCGGTGCTCTAACATCTTTTATCTCAGAGTAAATCCCSTTCTCAGAGTTACAACTCCTCCAGCAGCGGAGTTCAAGCTAAAAGTTAGCGACGCCGGGTTTAGAGGTTGTGCGTTAACTGGCAACAACGTCTCTGTGAGTTACGTCAACAGAGCCGCTGTGTCAGCCAATCAGAGACTGCCATTCCGGGTGACAGGAAGTTTATATAAAATACTGTGTAAAACCAATAAGTAAACAGTGAGAAAAAAAAAAGGAATATAGTGTAAAAAATTGAACAAAATCGACAGAGATAAATAAATAATGATGCAAAAGAAAAAATAAACAGTGAAAATAAAGATGTGCTAAAATCTAATAAAGACTAAAAATGGACTAAAATCAAGAACATTAAATCAATCCAATCACCTATCTACCAGTACATCCATCCATCCATCCATCCATCCATCCATCCATCCATCCATCCATCCATCCATCCATCCATCCATCCATCCAGGCTGGT